CTTGACCAGCAATAAAGAAGACGTTCTTCGCAGACGTCGCCAAGAAGACAGATTGTGCCGCCTGGTGGGGAAGAAGATAGACCTCAAACGGACAAGTTGGATAGCAAGGTATGTTCTTCAGCCTTGTGGATGTGTTAATGGAAGCCAGTAGTTGAAGAGTACTGCGTGAGGCTGAGGGGAAGTAGGGATGAGGCACGGGACAAGCGGCAGGTTTGAAGCGTCTTCCGTGTGGAAGGGAATAGGTTGGCGTGATAGCAGAGTGGAGCAGGAACAAGTGAGCGCTGTTCCGTTGATCCCCGAACGAGTTACGACAAGATTGTGGCTAATTGTGACCATTGATGAAACGGTAATCGAGTTAGGTCTTTTGTTTGGCTTCTACAGGAAGAGGACGGGCTTTTTGGCCACATCGAGGGCAGAGAACGCGCATGCAGAGACTGGCAACTGCGGCTCCTCCGATTAAACTGTTCAAAAGCGCGGCTGACATCCAGTGCCGGGTTGTACTTGGCATGAAGAAATGGATAGGTCTGGATGGTGATTGTACTGTTTACAAAAGCTAGCAGTTTTAGGATAGATTATGCTCACACGAGTGATTTGCTATCAAGTTCAACTGTGGGCGAAGTGGGGGGAGAGTCAGTACTGGATGGACCATGGACGAAGGGCGGAAAGCGACAAGGCGGAACCGCGGAACGTTCATCTGGTTCCGCTTGACCAACTCTCTCTCTCGCCCCGCTTTCGTATCCATTGGTCAGTTCCAGCACAGGAGAGGCTTGGAGGAATGATTAGAGGTTTAGCAGGAAGGCGCGCAGCTGTGCAGGAGAAAGGCATAGCATGATGGCTGACAATCATGGCACAGCATGATGTTTGCTTTGATATCTGTTACAGTTTATCTTTTTAGCTGCATGCCCGAAGTATACATTGCGACGATTGTCGACAAGGCTGTTACGTCAGGCCAGGCTCGACTTGTTGGACGGGATCACACTTTCCTGCAGTGTAATTCAAGTGGATTACAGGATATCAAAAATCTATAGGCGGATTAACCATTATAAAGTGGTGCCTTACTTGGTAGCGCGTAGTGCATACTACCACGACGAGAGGCTCTTATCAGTGATGTGTGGTATTTTGGAAGGAAAGACGGCGGCTATTGGCGCGCTCATCTTGTACGGCAGCTAGTCTTTTGCCGTCCGCCGTAATCGCCGATATCCTTCGTGGCGTACGCGCGCTTTGTGTCTGTGTACATTCTTTGCCTTGATCGTGATGGTGGTTTCTGCCATAGCGGCTGCTGCTGCTGCACGGAAGGAAGGCCTTGTATACTGATATAGAAAGTGGTCCCTGCTGCATTTGATGAAGAGTTGCTTGCTACCGCTGCCTTACATATTATTTTGATATCGGGTTGTTGCACGTGGGAATAAGAGCACTTGTTGGCGCATATATACACATCACCCATATACATATCTATCATCTTGGAAATCATGCGGAAAAGACCGGCGTGAAGCCTTCCCTAGCTCGCTCCGTTGTGTCTGATTGTGTGAAGGACCCGAAGGACTTTTTCGCATCATGTGATTCATATGAGGATAATGGATGCTGTTTATTGCTGGTGAATCAGCCTTATATGGTTGCATTGCTGTTTGATAAAGGAATATCACAGTCATTATAGTGTGTGCCGGAAGTTGTAGCGAAAATGATTACCAGATGGATAATATCGTGGTTATTGCGGTGGGGAATTGGGCTGCTGTTGGTCAGCCCTAATGTATATGCTAATGGTCAGGCGGAAGATTCGAAGGGATCAGCGTCGTCGTTGTGGGCCTCTTCGTCTAGACGGCGTGACACAGAGCAACAGCAGGAATTATCCAGGCAGTCGCCGTTAATATCACAGGACAGCAGCTCCAATTATGGATTACAATGTCCACTCGCTTGCACATGCAACCAAGCCTTAACCTCCCTTGATTGCAGCAAGCGTCAACTTGCTCGCGTTCCTCTCGGAATACCACCACAGACGGAAAAACTGTAAATATTCAATGCATTCGTAACAACTTAGTTACATGGTTTCGCATTTAAACTCTAATTTGGTAGAAAGAGATTCATTGAATTAGCAGCTGTGGATGCCCGTTTCTGGCCACACCCTTTCAACGTAAGAAATGATATGAGTGAGGCGTCATGAGCTCGGCTGTGCGGATCTCACGTATAAGTATAGTTGAAAATTTCGAGGGTAAAAGAGTGAGAAGTTATGGCTGGCGATGAAAGGTCTGGTGGCTGGTGGGATGGCTAATGTAAATGTTGGGAATAAACGATGCTATCTTGCTTGTGATGAGTGGCGTCAGTCGTCTTGTCCACCTTTGAGCATTCCCCCGCATATTATCTCCATGATGGCTAGTCGACCTTAATCGCTCGCCAGCAGACTGGTTGAAGAAGGACGCGCTGTCAATACTGGGGGTTCTTGAGACCGTTCCCGTCGTCAGGAATCTTGGCTTCAGTGTTGACATTGTGCGCGCAAACGAAACGGGGCAGTGTTGGTAATTATCGCCGGGCTTGATGACTAAGCTGCGTGGGTGGATTGTGAAATGAAAGAGAGAATGCATGCCAAAGGGTGGAAGGTGAAGTGAGGAGAAGGAAGGTGTGAAGAACGCGGTCTATTGGGTCTACTGTAGAGTGGCCATTGGCCGATGATTTAATGGCCCACTCAACAATTAATTAGCCAGATTGAATTGAACGAGGACATATTGACGCCCCAAAAAATTACACCTGAAAGTCTTTTCTGGCCATTCCATTATGTGCCGGCTCTGAAGACATTCCTATTCATTAACGTGCGTTATGAAAAGTTTAATATTCTTTTATGGCTCAAAGAAAAGGTCAATGCTGTCCGACGTCTGAAGTCATGCAAAACCGATTTTGTTTTCCAACTTGTGACGTTGTTTGATTTTCGGCAAACAGTGGTATCTCAAAAGGTACAGCAAAAAAGTTTACTTGTAGCGAGTGAGGTGACTTGCTCGTAATTTGCGAGGCAAATCAGGCGCGCCAGATCGCTGCCTAATGGAAATTTCCTGTTGATGGTCCCCGGAGAATTAGCAGCGTTTTGAACTGGTTCGTACCCTAAAGATTTGCACCCGTGTCTTCCAGCCTTATTCCGAGTTCACAATATTCCAGACTTTCGGTCAAATGTTACGGCGAGCTTTGGCTTCCACTCAACCTCTCCAGCACTTGAATGCAAGCAAACAACTGGATAATTTGATTAGCCTACATTTAACCAGCATTGATTTCCATTCAAAAGGACACTTGTAACGTTGTAACACGGATAGATCTTAGATTTGCCAGCAAGTGTAACGAACCCTGTAATCAATTCATGCTTTCCGTATCCTTATCCTTATCCTTCGATTTGGAAGTGCTCAGTTGACACGATGTTTTGGTTTTTACAGAGACCTACAAGGGAACAACTTGACGGTGATCCACAACGCGGATTTCAAGGCGTTGAAGCGCTTAAAAATCTTGTAAGTACATACGGATAATATGCATGGCTTTATCTTCATTGCAAATTCAGCATTCGTCTCCTCCATTGCTCCATCTGTCTGTGATGCTTGGCATAACATGGTACTTGCGGCTGTGAAATGGGTGTAGCAGTGGGGTTTAGCATGGGAAAGCACTTGTCGTCATTTGGTAGTCTGAATAATGTGCTGTTAATGATTACAGGCAACTACAGGAAAATCAGATTCAGACGGTGGAAGCTGGCGCTTTTCAGGATCTCCTTTCCCTCGAACGCTTGTAAGTCCTTGTCTTTCGATATTCACTTGGCCTCAACATGTCATAACAAGTCGAGTATCCAATCGACTTGATAATTACCACCCTACTCCTGCATATACAAGTGTTCATATCCTTAATAATTATTCATCAAGCAGGCCACATGATATGTTATGCCTCTCAAACTTTCCACAAGTTTCTCCGTCCGTACTCTATTCGATTCTTAGCAGGACATGTTTCGAAGCAAAGAACCCTGGTCTCTGTCCGTTCAGATGATCAGTCGTGCTTAAAACTACTTGGGGATGACACTAGGCAGTTTAGTTGAAACACATGGCTACACGGATGCCGAAGATTGATATCGAAATTGTAGCATGTTGAGCTCTCAAATGTTGTCTGATGATTATCCAGCCGTCAGCGGTGGTCAGACATGATGCATCCCACGACAGACCTTTCCATTTCCTCACCATCAAGGCGCAACGATCAACAGCAGCCATCATTTCTCGTGAAAGCGATTTAACCTCCATTAACAAGAAAACCTCTTATTTCTTCGAGGACTCGGCTGGGAAAGAAGAGAGGGTCTAAGATGGAGAAGGAAGAGGACACTTGATCGTTAGCCTTAAGGGCATGAATGCTTTTTGAGGGATGAATGTTTGCACACAATCCAGCACAAAAAGCAGACCGTCACTAAACGGGCCGAGATGCTGTCGGAGAGCGTTATAGCTCGAAGGGTCAGATCGATTCGTTTTTTTTGAAAGAGAGATATATCTGTCGGTAAAAGCAACTCTACACAGCAGGTCCACTAAAATGAATTAGACTTTTGCTCGGCAAACCTTTCGGCTATCCCCAAGATGAACATGCCGCGTCGCAGCTTGGCTCTATTTGTACAAAAGAGACGCACTGTCCAAGGCAGATTGTCGATGAGCAGGAAAAGATCAATCGGTTAGTTTCACCGGGCAAGTGCTGCATGTTGTCACTTCTCATCCTCTCAATCACGGCAAAAGACGCACCGAACAACTGTGTGCCCAACGGAAGTTCGAAGTTGTCGCGGCTGCGACGAAAGCCGGCGCAGGTTCGCGAACCTTCGCTGGCTTTACTCAGTTCCACATACAGAAGCTTTGTTGGTGCAAAAAGAAACCTCGCTTTCGTAGTTCATGATGGGTTGTTTTGTGGTCCTGAGATCGTCCCGTGTTTTGTACCCTCTGGTTAAAAATGGAAACCTGGCAAATCGCGGGGCACACTACGCAGTAAAGTGCGTAAGGTGACAAAAAGAGCTCCCAGACCGGGAATCGAACCCGGGTCTTCCACGTGACAGGCGGAGATACTCACCACTATACTATCTGGGACATGTTATGGATGTTCGGACAAATTTGTCCTCCCAGCTGTATAGAACCGACTGCTGTTTCTTTTTACGATTGTTATTGGGAACCCCGCTTTTTCTGTGTCCATCCATATTCGGGCCGACTCACCACTACACTATCTGAGACAATTCTTGTACAAGTTTACAAATTACAGTCTGAGCTTGTTTTAATTGCATCTCACTCCCATCTCGGACGGGACCTAGTGGGTTCTCCGAGAGTTGGCACATCCGGCCATGTCGAGCTATATTTTTACACTTAACACGGAGACGGTCGAACTGGTTTCTGGATCTATAAGACACGGAAACCCTAGTTCGTTCTTGACCTACCGGGAAAACGTACGCCTGATAAGCTCGGCCTTTAAAGTCTTTACAGCGGAAGATATTGCCGCGGTCAGGGTCAAGAATACCAATCATCTCTTGAAGCGGCTAATGACTTAGTGACCTGTCATCATCAAGGCAGATACCTGGATCAGGAATTAGCGCAGGCCGGCACGCTTTTTTTAGCAACTAAGTTGGTTTGCACTGCCCCCTGGCGCTCAGCAATCGCTATCTTCATGACAAATTTTGTTTCTGTTTTTCAGGCGGTTAAACAAAAACCAGCTACGGAGTTTGCCAGACCTTCTTTTGGCCGGTTCAAGTCAACTCAGCCGATTGTAAGTAAATACTTTGTTATCGTGCTACGCGAGAATATTATTCTGCTGGTACAGCGTAGCGTGGGGGATCCGTCTCTTTCAGTTGACGGTGATTGATCAGGCTGGTTCCAAAGATTTTGTATACTTTGTTGCTCTTTTGAGAGAAGCATCAAAAGGAAAGGTGGTGTAGGTTTTTAGGACAGGTATAACGACAATATTGAGCAAGCAAAGGGGCAAATGGAGGGAGGGAAGGCAGGAACATTGGGTTATGCACGGGCACGTTTCTCTACGAGGTGCTTGCGGCCATTGTCCAGCTAGAAGGGCCTTTCATCAGAGTTTCAGTAAGCAAAATAGCGCAAGTGTTGACTGTTCCCACCCCTGCATGAAAAGCCTCCCAGCCCATTCATCGTTACTTTTCGAGCCTTAGCTGACTTTGCCGCGACCGTGCCGAGACTGTTCCTTTCGGGCTGGGGAAGCCGGAGGAAATGAGCTTTGTCACACTGCAAACCTTGTAAGTCTTTGAGTCTTCGGACCGCCGTTCGTAAGAATGGCGATGCTCATGACAGCAGTCGTCAATTTTTTTCTGTCCGGTAGGGGGCGAAATGGACAAAGTGTTGAACAAGAAAGAGGTTCGGTTGAAGTAAGATTGCATTATTCAACTCAGCAGGAATACAGGTGACATTACACAAGAGCATGAGGTTTTTTTGTGAAGAGAGATCGTCAGGAAGCATCTGGCATTTATGGTGTGAAAAGAGCGTGGCTGCATTTGTGTCGAATGGAATGGCGCAAATGTATTCAGCTGGTCAGATGCCGCCGAGCGAACGTGATTCTAACGCGATTCACCGCATTCTTCTTTTCCTGTCGGTCGGTATGGTGTTCAGCGCGTACCTGCCCATTGACTCTTCTTCATGCGATTATCACCAGTCGAACCAGCTCATGTTCACCTTCGCGTGAATAGCTGCTTGCGCCTTTTTCACGGCATTGCAGTCGATTTCCTGGTGGCTATTTATCTAGTCTTCAATGGTAAATGGTCAAGACAAATGTCAGAGGGAAAAAGAGAAATGACAGGTGTCATTGCACTGCTAAGCTAAATATTATCGCCAGGAATTTTTCTCAACATTCCGTGTTTGCTCCTCAGGTTAGATAGATTTGTTTTGTGCGTTCTGCGGCAGCAACCAACTGACTTCTACAAGCGTATATAGAATTATATAGAAAGGAAGGACCAAAACAACAATTTTCAAACTGTTTTTCGTGTAGATCCTGTCGTACTTTGTTAGTCGAGAACCCGAACAAGAGTGACGGGTCGTAGGTACGATGGCTGCGGTATTTCCACGTCAAAAAGCGCCAGCATAATTTTTCAGACATTTATCTGACATTTATTACCAAATTATGCTTGGCAAATATCACTGGTTGCGGTATTGCCATTGCCGAAAGTTAACCTCGTAAATTAAAAGCCATTTGTCAAAGTAGTCGGTTGGGCGGACTGCTGCTGCAATAATGTACGCAGTAACTCAATGGCAATGATGGTCGGTAGGGTCGTCGTTTCAGATCGTAAAGCGTCAACAGATTTCAGCGCGTGTCAGAGTTCGAACATTTCTGCTCGACCAGAAGCAGCCTTTTATATTCTTGGCAGGAGTCGCTGGAGCAAGCTACTGTGGGACTTGTAATGTATCGGTTAGGTCTTCACGTCCAGAACAAAAGGAAGAACAAGTTTTGGCGTGTTGTTCAGCATCATTTCGAGTCTAGTGGTGAGGCCGGATATAGACGATTCTTTGGTCACTTGGAGAATATAGTGGTCATTTGGCCGTCATGTCAAGCTGGGCTAGTCAGTGGTAGGCCTTCAATTATCAGTTGAAAATAAGCTCGTGATGAATAGTCACCTGCCGTTAGTGTTGAGTTGCTGCTAGTCGTAAAATGCCACAACTGCCTCATGACCAACCCATCAGCCTATGAATTATGGATAGCCGTTTTCTTCTTTCCGTCAACGCTGAAAATTTTGCTCAGCGACGCTTCCGCAAGGATCCTCCTGGCCCAAAGTGCCACCTTGAACCGCAAACCCAAACATACGTTGAATTTCATGTCCCCATAAATGGCACATCGTTAACCGCGGAACATTACTATACTGTACTGTAAATTGGGTTACAAGCATAACTCAAGCATATGGTGGAATAATTTATTGTGTTTTTTTCCCAGAGACTTGAGTGACAACCAGCTGCAGTTTATTGGGCGGAAAACATTTACGGGAGTGGGGCGTCTTCGGAACCTACAGCTGGACAACAATCAGTTACGATGTATCGACGGCGACGCCCTTCGTTCCCTCAAGGACCTGCAGATACTGTATGGGGCTCTCCGTTATGATCTGCAACGTGCCATTGTAAACGATATTTGTCTTTTCTTCTTGCAGAACGTTAAATTACAACAATCTAACGACCCTGGCCAAAGATATGTTCAGCGATATGAAGAACCTTCGCATACTGTAAGTCGTTGTAATTCTGACTGTCTTGCTATGGAACTAGGAATGGGTATCTTTCACGAAAACGTTTGACATACTTGTAGGAGGATATCAGAGAACCGTCTTTCCTGCGACTGCAACTTGCAGTGGCTGGCTGGTTGGCTGCGTCGCAATCCCCGGCTGGCTTTGTTCACCAAATGCAGCACACCGCGTAGCCTGCGACAACGCAACATTGCCGAGCTGGAGTCCAATGAGCTAAAGTGCGCCAACAACGGACACACTGGCCTCTCCTTGCAGCTGGCATCCTTGCAAAACTACTTTGTGGCCACGGCTGCCGCTCAACGCTCCAACGGACCTTCCTGCAACGCCAACGAGCCCGACTGTCCCGACTTGTGTCGTTGCACGCAAGATGGGCTGGTCGACTGTCGGGATCGCGGTCTTTTGACCATCCCTTCCAACATCCCCGCAGACGTCACCGAGCTGTAAGTCTTCTCTTGTTTACCGCGCTTTTGATGCACTGCATAGAAGATGAAATGGATCGTCACCGGTTTAATATCTTGTTTGCCTTGTAGTCGTCTGGAACAGAACCTAATCAGCCACATCCCTTCCCAGGCCTTCTCGCCCTACAAATATTTGAAGAAAATGTAAGGGCGGTCTTTCCGTTCACATTGACAATAGCTACGTTTGCCGTCAGCTGGAGCTAACTTTTGATGGATTTTTTTGCAGTGACGTCAGCAACAACAAAATCGCGGAAATTGCCCCCGATGCTTTTACAGGCTTGGAAGCACTGACGTCATTGTAAGTTGCTCGATGCTTGTGCCATGATTGTCTTGAGTGATCTGAGAGTGTCTCGAGGAATCTTTCTGATTAACCTGATTACGTTGATTGGTTCTTTGTTGCAGAGTGCTGTATGGTAATTTAATTCAGGACGTGACACCGGCACTCTTTCGTGGATTGCGTTCACTGCAACTGCTGTAAGTGCACAGCCAAATGATAATTATACAGTACTGTACTTTTCCATGCTGACCTCGGCCAATGATGTTCTTCACAGGTTATTGAATTCCAATAAGATTGCCTGTCTTCATCTGGAGACTTTTCACGATCTGCACAATTTAAATCTCTTGTAAGTGTCATCTGGTTGCAAGTTTGAAAATTAATAACAGAGCCATCTGTTAACCATCGAAGGCCGACTGTTATATTCTCCTTGCTTGAACAGATCGCTGTATGACAACAAGTTGATATCGTTGGCTAACGGGACGTTTAGCTCTCTTCGCAAGCTACAAACACTGTAAGTACCTTGTTGACCATCCACCCGGAGAATCACCACTCTTTCAAGTACTGAAGCATACCAATATCATTCCCATGGATAAAGTCTAGTGGCATACATTGCGAGCTGAAATGAAGATGCTAACCAAACAGAAATAATAATGACATTGCTGGTGTGAGGATAGCCAGATGAAGTGACGCATGTTCTCATGTGTCTGCAGGCACCTGGCGCGCAATCCTTTTGTGTGTGACTGCAACCTGAAATGGCTATCCAGCTACCTACTGGCCAACCCCAACATCGAGACGTCGGGAGCACGCTGTGATGGCGGCCCAATGCGTCTGGAGCGTCAACGGCTGGACCAAATGCGACCCGACAAGTTCAAGTGCAAAGGAACGGAAGAGAGCAAGACGCGAGCCTTTGCCAGTGGCACTTGCGCTGTCATGCAAGCTGATGGCACCGTCCCTGGCTGGCCGTCCGCCCAAGACTGTCCCGCCGAATGCCTCTGTGTCGGCACCGTGGTCAATTGCACTTCCCGCCACTTGACCACTCTACCCCAAAGCCTGCCCAAATATGCTACCCAGCTGTAAGTGCACATCATCGAAAAGACCGCTCTCCAAGCTCAATGGCATGGTCTT